AACTGTACCCAAGTTAAACATTGCTGCTTCTGCAGACGCTGAAGAGCACACCCCATGAGCAGAACAAGGTCTTTAAATTTTCATGAAGGGAAAAGAGAAGGCATCTTCTTTTCTGAGAAAAGTTTCCCCTAAGTAAAACAAACAGCAGATATGCCGGGTACCCATCCTGTCAGCACAGCCCGAAAAGAACCGGGCCCCGGATCCTGCGAATTTCTGGCTTCTCGCAGCCAGAAATCCCGAAGCTGTGGACTGACCTCCCTTCCGGTTCTTCAGAGAAGGAAATGCAGCTTAATTAAGCTCAATTTTCTACATAACGATTATCCTCTGTAGCTACTCAGTGAAGTTTTAAATCAGTATCAGATTAAATGCTTGCTCAAATCATGGAACATGCCCTGTCCTCCAAATCTAATCTTACCCTGCTGGCAACTGGAAAAGCCAGAAGACTGAGGGTAACACACACTAGCACATAGTTTTCCTTTTCAAACAGAAAACATCCTTTGCCATCCTGTGAGTTTTGTCCCTAAAGTAACCCACAGTTTTCTTCTGTGCACAGAGGTCTCGCTAGCTGAGAGAAAACAAAGGTAACTTTGGGGGAAAAAGCATCACTGCAGTCTCCAACACACGGGCACTTTTTGAATTCATTCTGAATGGAAGTGGGAAAATGTTTAAAGGTACTGCTAGGGAACTGAGAAAGACCTGCACAAAATGATTCGAATAACCAGGAAAGAAAATCCTCAGCCTGAAAGACACTTCAGAGAGAATTCTACTTCCACGTCAGCTAAAAGCAACACACTCCTCGACTTCAGCTCTAAGGAAGTCACCTGGATTACAAATTTTACCCCCTCATAAGCTAAGCAAGTGCGTACTAATTACGAGGCTGACTAATGCAATGCAGAATTATGTTTTAGCATTTTGTAACATGCTGCATAAATTGCAGGAAATCGACTATTTTTGCTGCCAATCACTATTCTGTGATTCTGTAATGCAATGCAGAATTATGTTTTAGCATTTTGTAACATGCTGCATAAATTGCAGGAAATTGACTGACTATTTTTGCTGCCAACAGTCAGAAAGTTTAACTTCTTCCTAATGACTTCTGTGAAATCAGTAATGAAGCGATGAGATTATTTCAGAGGTATCTATGGTCAGATAAAGCTAATATATGTAATAATGTCATTCCCCTCCTAGACTCACGTAAGAATATCATCTGAGGGAAAAGCCGAGCCAAGCAGACAGTTCAGTAGGTGTTCTAGGTTTAGCCCTGCTTTACGGGACAGGTTCTGCCGCTGCCGAGCAGACGCGAGCACCACGACGACCTGCGGCTCTGCGACGCCCGCAGGCTCCTGCGCAGACCGGGCGTTATCCAACAACCCGGACAAACCTTCTCTCAATTTTTCATCTTTATCCTTGGATGTCAGGTCAACTACCAGACAGAGGTGTCACTGCGGACAAGTAAAGGAGAACCTGAAGCAATGTGAGCCGAAATAACTACAAATATCAAGTGAAAACTTCAGATGACTGGAAGTGGGGTTTTTTTTATAATTATTTTATTAAATTTTATAATTTAGACGTTTTAAACTGAAGAGAACTGATATTGGGTATCTCGGAAGGTTACAAACATACAGGCATTTTTCTTTCTCCTAGTAAAACATTTCCTCAGCTTGGAACACCCTCCACACAGCCTCTTTCTGTAGACTCTTTGAAGTATTTTTTCACTCACATAATATGGTGACCAGAGATCAGCACAGGAATTAACTTATTACATCTGTGCATTTCCTTCTCACTTGTTCTCTGCAAGAATTCCTTTACTTTCAAGACAGGCAGTTCTATCTGCATTTTTTAGCCTAGTCTTTACCCTGCTACATTTTTTTTTCCACCAACAGTCACACTAAACTTCACACAGATATAGTCAGCTGCATCATTAGTCACGTCAATAATTTCTGGCCTAATCTTCAACACCCTGAGAGAACGCCCGCTAGTCATATGGTGCTGTTATTAACGAGAGTTCTACCGTCCTAGTTCTTTCCTCTTTAACCTGCCACTTACAAAAATGGATCCCTCTTCCATGTATTTTTATCCCTAACTTACATAAACACTGTCAAAAAAGGTTTTTTCACACTCTTTTTCCAACTCTTGTATGATGGATGTACTCATACTCCTGTAGTACCTTCCTGATGTTTCCGTCAACACAAAAGTAACGGGACTGTAAAATTATGGAAAAGTTCCTTTCTTTGCCTTTATTTAGAAACCCCCTCTTTAATCCCTTCTACCAATTCCTGCGGAATGTCCTCACGCACTACGTTTGCCCACCAAGGAAACGCTGCTCTGAGCTACAGAACCAGATGGTTTCGAGTATGAAAATAAATTGTTGGTACCAAGTACAATATATTCTGATTTTTTTGTTTAGAAACTTCTGCAGAGAAGCCAGAGCTCTCTGCTTTACAGGGCTGCTCCTCCAGCAACAAACTTCCCCTGCTCCCTGTTCACTTCAGAGCAGACTCTACCCAACCCCACCGTAATTAGCCGTAACGTTTCCACAGACTATTAAACAAAGATCTAGCTGAAGACTAAAAACTGGTGCAAAGACAGCACCCACTTGTTCAGCTGTCTACTCACCAAATAAGAGAGCAATCAGAGAGCACTTACGGTGGCAGAGAGCTGCGGCCCGTTCAGCTGAGCGTGCAGGATGGCTTCGTTGACCGAGTTCCGGATTCCCGTCAGCGCCACTTCCAGCTCGTGGGAGGCAGCCATTTCGTTCGCCAGGTACTCCAGCACGGAGATGTACTCCCGCCACTGCGCATCCAGTTCCGACACGCTGGCCAGGCAGCCCCTCATCACGTTGAGACAATACCCGACGCAGGGCCTGATCAGCGTCAGGCCCTGGCAGTGCGGGCAGTACTGCATCTTCACCAGGGCTCTGCCGCACTCCTTCGAGAGCGCGGCGTGCTCAGTGGTATTTATCACTTCGATGCCCAGGCTGAGGGCCTGGCTGAACATCCTACTCGCCCAGAGAGACTTTGACAGCTCTGCAACCAAGTTTTTCGAATAGCGTCCAAACGGATTTATGTCTTGCCTTGTCAGCCGGAGGCACTCCGTATAGTCCTCCGATAAATCCGTAATGCCGGGGTTTATCAGCCGACTGTACACCAGAGGAAAGAGGCTGTCAAAGAACCGCAACGCTGCGCTTTCCACTGTAGTCTCCGCGCCCAGAAGGTAGAGAGAGATGTCTGTAAAGAGTTCTTTCACAGGCTCCGCTGCTTCTTTTGCCACGGGTCTGTAAGCTGTCTCAAACAGGGAACTCGTGCGGTTCTCAGCAAAGCGAAGCAAAGACTCAAAGGCCTCTAGAAAAGGGGCAAGGGAGAGAAAGAACTGGAGGTTAATCGCCAGCAGCCAGCATCTCGGTCACAGGACTAACGCTGTCTGGAACAGCAACGCCAGCAGTTACGTGATCTGCAACACGAATACACTGACAGTTCATACAGCTTTTGTCAGTAATATGATTTAAAAGACACCTAAATACTCCATGTTCATAATGAAGCCAACCCCTAGCATAAAAGCATTTCCTTACGAAAAGACTACTGTCCTCCCAGCAGCTCGACCCTGTCCCAC